TTTTAAGAAAGTTTATGAATTTGTGTTGGGCCGCATTCACAGCTGTCCTGGGCTGCATGCAGCCTACAGACTGTGGGTTGGACAAGCTTGGCTTAACTACAACCTGCAAAAAAAAGAAAGCAAAGATACTAACCAAATCTATGAGCATCTTAAGGACCTCCTGAGGACTGTCCTGATCTTCCATCCTCTTAGAACTGTTTTCTGAAGGCAGCATACCCAAGAGTCTCTGCCCAAAGGTCTTCTTACTCTTTGATGATAGAGATCCTAAAATTGAACATGAAAATCCAGCTGAGACATTAAAATACCTTCACTGATATCCTCCCAGCAAAAGAGGTAGCTACAAATTAAGGCTTATTAATTCCTAAGTCAGCCTGGAGGTTGTCCTCTTCAGGAGACCTCTAGGACACGTGAGTCTGGCAGCACAGTGGGCTGTAGCAGGCAGAGCACAGCCTACAGAGCCAGGAGCAGCGCAGATGAGAGACAGCAAGAGTGCCACCCTGCTGTGTGGCACAGCCGCCCCTCCACGCCAGCTGATGCAGAGGCCACACAGGAATGCAGTGCATGTCACGGGATCATCGCAGTCTTCAAGAGCAGCCAGAAATGCAGATCTGTCATGACATCTTCCGAACCTAAATGTCAGCCACTAGTCTTATTTTTGAATCTACTATGCAGACCTAACAAAACATGTCTGCAGGCCACAGGAGCCCTCTGAACCATGCAAACTCTGCTTCAGAACCAAAAAGACCTGGACTTGAATCCTCGTTTAGCCACTTAATAACTGTATGACCTGGGACGAGTTTTCTCAGCTTTATTTCCTCGTCTCCACAATGAGAATAGCATTACCTTCTTCTCAGGGAACTATGCCATTAAATAATAAATCACAGCGGCTGGGGGAGGGGAAATGGGGAGTTACTCTTTCACAGTACAGGGTCTCTTAAAGAAAGAGGAAAATGTTCTGGAGCTGGATGGTGACGATGTTTACATTACAATGTGAATGTACTTAATGCCACTTAAACAGTTCAAATGGTAAACTTTAGATATATTTTACCACCACAACAAAAAAAATACCAGAACTGTCAAAGGCCCTCCCCAGGTATTAGCATAATATTTAATATCTCACATGCTGACATCACTGATGTCCTTCTTCATCCATAGAAGGGAAGTAATTTGCAGAAGGTACAAAATGTCAAGATTGTATAAGGAAAATTTCAAGAATGTTTTTGGAATACTCTGCAAAAGTGGTTTAGGGGGAAACTAAGAGCAGATGAGGGGAGATCCCCTTCCCACCAATCCTTACAGACCACAGTGACTAGGGTGGCCCTGACCTCTTCCACAAGGAGCGGTGGCAAACAGAGGTCAGAGAAACTAACACTTTGATGAGTGGGTGAATCTGCGTCCCTGTTTTCAGTCTAAAAAAAGAAATAGCTTGGTGTGGTGGCATAAGCTGGTAGTCTGGAGGATTGCTTGAGCCCACGAGTTTAAGACCAAAAAAAAAACCCAAAAGCAAAAGAAAAAAAAAGAAGTATGCTTATAACCTACTTTTGAAAACTTGTCTAAACTGCCATATCAAAAAGAAAGTTGATATTAAAAGTGTTACTAAACATGAAAATAACCTGTAACAATCATCCCACACCCCTTAAGATTACTGAAATATACTAACAAAATGAATTAAAGTCCTGTCACTGAGAAACTGAGAAAGACCTATTGTATAGATTTATAAAAGTTGTGAGAGATTTTTTTTTTTTTTTTT